TGAGGTACATACTCCTTGCTGGCATCAAACTCCTCATTGAGGATCGTTGTAACCTTTTTCTGGATCTGATCAATATCTTCCTTAGACATTTCTCCAGATTCAAGAACTTTCTTCTTGTAGATATCCAGAGAAGAAGGATGATTTCGGATGACCTATCAAAATACAAACAAAAATAAGAAGATTGTCTTATCTTCCCTCTATCCACTAACCCTCATCCAGTCCATTGATGGTATAAATAGGCATTTAGGCATGAAACAGCTTGTATATGCTTGTCTCAATTTCAGTCAATTTATATTAAAATGAAGTGGCTGAACATGCATATTGTAAGCTAGTTAAGCCTTAAGAGATCCTAAGCAAATAAATTTAATTCCAAATAAATAAAATATACTTATAAAACCCAGAGAAGAAGAATATTTTTGACAAACTTACCTTGTACATTTTTGGTTGGGTGAAAGATGGCTCATCAATCTCATTATGTCCAAATTTACGGTAGCAAATAATGTCTACCACTACATCAGAATGGAAGGTTTGACGCCACTCTGCTGCAAGCTCACAAACATGAACCACGGCTTCCAAATCATCCCCATTTACATGAAAAATTGGGGCATTCAGAGCTTTTGCGACATCAGTGCAGTATTGCGAAGATCTTCCTGCCCTAGGATCAGTTGTAAAGGCAACTTGATTGTTCACCACAATGTGAATAGTGCCGCCAGTAGTGTAATTTGGAAGAGCACTAAGATGGAGTGTTTCATACACCACACCTTGTCCAGCAAAACTACCATCACCATGGATTAAAATAGCCATATTTTTTGTTCTGTCGGCATCATTAGAGTAATATTGTTTAGCTCTTGTTTTCCCAACCACAACTGGATCCACAGCTTCTAAGTGACTTGGATTCGCAACCAGTGAGAGATGGATCCGCTTTCCACCCCTAGTAGGCCTATCATAAGAAGTTCCTAGATGGTACTTGACATCTCCAGTTCCAGTGTAAAGTCCAACCTCGTCTGTAGGCTTTACTCCACCACTAAACTCACTAAATATTTGCCGAAGTGGTTTTCTCACCACATTACCCAGCACATTCAACCTACCCCTGTGAGACATTCCAATAACTATATTCTCAACCCCAAGATCTGCTGATCTATCAAACATTTCCTTCATACCAGGAATGAGAGTTTCACAACCTTCGAGACCAAACCTTTTAGCAGTAGTCCACTTAGTTGCTAAGAAACTCTCAAACTGAGTACTCCATATAAGCCTGTCCAGCATCACGTGTCGCCTTTCCTTGTTATATTCCATGGGAGTCGGGGTTTCAATTCTGTCTCTTAGCCAGTTACACTTCTCACGATCAGCTATATGCATATATTCAAAACCAATGCTCCCACAATAAGCCTGCTCCAGACGGTTAAGGATATTTCTAAGGGTTTGAATAGGACGGTTCTCTGACAAAAATCCAGCCATCCTCCATACTCCAAGGAAGAATTCGCGATCCAAGTCAGCTTCGCTGAACCCATAAACATCCAAGTTCAAATCATCAGGAACTGGCCTTTGCTCCAGACTCAGTGGATCCAACTTGGCCTTAAAGTGTCCATTAACCTGATAAGCTCTCACAAGCAGTAGCAGACGCATACTCTCTTGAATAGTTTGTCCTGAGATCCCCGGTGAAGTAGCCGCCTGGCCAACAAAGTTTCTAAAGAAATTGTCCCATGATTCATCAACACTGTTAGGGTCAGCTTCCCAAGCTCTTTGTAGCTCCTCTAGGTAAACACTACTGGTCCCGTCAAGAAAACTATCAGTAAGCCGTGAAAGGGGTACAGGACGTGGAACAGGAGCCGCATATGGTTTAAAAACCGTGCTATGAAAGAAACGACTCTGCGAATTAACAAAATAACGGCTTTGTGAATCAATTATTCGTGTTCTAGTCACATAAGAACGTCCCTGAGATACAGTCCTCCTAACAGCAAGCTTCGCCACATTAGATCCAGCTCTAAACCAAGCCATAGCTTCGAATCACAAATCACCAGCTTAAAAAGCTTCAACCCTAGCATGCAACATTAAAGCACTACTGTTACACAACGCGAAAGTTTAAAACAATGTTCCAGATTCAAAGCATAACCCATACTAAACAAGTACAAACACAAAATGCATAACTACAATTATTGTTTCATTTTTTAGGATACAGAGAACCTCAATGAATCAAGCAAACATAACGCCAATAAATCCTAAGCAAACCGCCAATTATAAAGCTAATTAAATGAATAATCAAATAATTAAGGCAACTAAATTCGTATGAACCTTCAATTTCGCCGATTATTCGAAACACAACAACTTCATTTCAAATAATAATCTAAATTGAATAGCACTTACATCGATTTGAAGAAGACAACCAGCCAATTCCAAAACAAAATTAAAAACAATAATATAAAATCAAAAGAAAACTAAAAATGCACAAAAATTATCCCAAAAATTGCAAAAAATACCTCCGAACGATCGAAAAGCGCGTAAAATGAGAAAAGAGAATAATATTCTTATCATAGAAGAAGGTTCTAATTTTTTTGTTTGACTTGCATGAAGAACTTTTACTTTTCATTCAAAAGCGACAGCTAAAAGTTTCCAAAACTAACCTCAGAAAAACAAAATTCAAATTCCGCCGCCAAAATCGGCGATAATAGAAATAAAAATCGTCGGAAATCGCCAGAAATATCAGATTACTGAAAAAAAAAACCGATGAGATACCTTTTTCCGGCGAAGACAGGGTTAGCGGTTGACGACGAATTGCACCGGTGAGCGGCGGCGTTGTAGAACGGCGGCGGAGCTCAGGTGGTGGTATGAAAATTGGGGAGGAATATGGAGGAGAGAGAAAAGGTGTGAGGGAAGAAAGAGGTGAGCATTTCCGGTGTGAAACAGTGCTAGTTTGGCGGAAGCGGCATGTAAGAAGAGGTGGGGGCAGAGGGTCCGAAGGAGGAGAGAGAAAATGTTTTGAGGGGTTAATGAGTGGGAGGTATAAGGGTATTTTTGGAAAATTAGGGTAATAAGACCCTGTTCTTATCAGATTATTTTCAGTTCAGTTCATTTCATCTCTAATAAGTTCAGTTCAGTTTAGCCCAACTCTAATAAGTTAAGTTAAGTTTAGTTCAACTATATATAAGTTCAGTTAATGAAAACAGACCCTAACTTGTAAAAATAGGGTGGGAATAATAAAGTTTATCATAAATTATTAAACTTTAGTTTTGACTGATTTTCTTGCTAAGTAATGGTACCAAAAATATTTGATTTTTTATTAAAGAAAAAATTAAATTAGTTGTGCAAGAGTTTCATAAATAAATAGAGTTCACTATGCCTGCGATTTTGAAATAATAGTCACATTGTCTTAATATCTTATGATTAATTATATGACACAATTTAGCTTAAATAGTTGCAATTAAAGCGATATATGATCAAATACATGTAAGCTCATTCAAATTAAAAGAGGTTGATCTTTTCAATAATTAATTTTGTGTTACGAAACATTTGGATGATTTTACAACTAATCATAGATTGTAACAAAGACTCAATTGATGATGGTGAAACTTGATTTGAGCCTGTTTTAAATTTGAGCTTAAAAAACAAATCATCTTTACAAAGTCATGTCAAGACAAGACAAATCAAGCTTGATTACAATAAACCTTGATCAATTCAAGTCATTTGCAACTTGTAAAATATCATACTTGATTACTCTGGAGGGGATTCCTTTTCAAAACCTTACAATGAATTTGAGACTATAATGTTGTTGAGTTGATGCTATCTAAAGAACCATTGATCTATGAAAGTGAAGTTAACCCTCAAGTAATTTCCCTCACTACAAAATCCTTTTTTATTTTATGAGACGACACAAGAGGCTTTTCAATGTCGATTATTACCTTAAATTACCTCTGAAAATTACCTCTTATTAAAAATACATTTCACTCAATATTACATCACTTAAAAAAAAAAAAATTAAAAAATTAAAAAAAATTAAAAAAAAAAAAAAGAAGAAGAAGAAGAAGAAGTGTGGAAATGACCATATAGCCCCTGCCCCCTTGCATTACCAGAGGGATAATTAATAAAAGTCCACTAATTATAACATAATTCATAAAACAACTAAAATTAGATTATTATTAAAAGGTCAATTAGATCAGAAATTGTAAGCATTTTTTTATTAACCTCCATAAACTACATTATCATCAAAACGTCTAGAACAATTGAACTTGACAATGATAACTGACTAGGATTGAACCCTGTGAGTTCTGACGCCGAAAGCATTACAAACATCAGACATCCTTCAGCTTATATACCTTACATATAGGAGTACAACTGTACAAGGTACAACAAAGTGCATTACAGTACCCCTGATCTTTACCGAAGCTTCATTACTCCAACTCCATATAACAACTCTCAGCAGGAAGCTAAGGCGTATAGTTTGACAATCTAATGCCTTCTAGGATATACTTCACATATACAAGGTACATCAAAGTGCAAACAATACTCCTAATCTTCACGGTGTTATAGCTCTCAGCAAGAAGCTAATGCATATAGTTTGCCATGTTCATACAAATGTAAGACATGTTACAAGAATTTAATCATTTGATGTGATGAAACTATATGCATTCACCCAATGTGTTTGTCTTATTGTCAACCTTCAACCTAAGGTTAGCAATGACCGTGCTGGCATCAGCATGGCCAATGGCAGCCATGGAATACGCCCATGGGGCATTCCATGAACTCTGCTCGACTGCTCATGATGGAGTAAAGATGTAACACTATGCATTTTCCAGATTGGTTCAACTACAAATTGATTGTGGCAAGCAGGTCTATTTTCAAAATGGGCAATACATGCCGACTTTGACTTCCCTCTTCCTCTCACATAAAACATTACCAATGTAATCCAAGATGCGGGCAAGATCTTGGATTACAGATCCTCAAACACTAAAGCAAACAGAATTACAACTTTGGAGTGCATGCATGAAGTTTATTAGTGTTTCTAATTAGTCAAAAGAATCAGGATATGAAAATTTTCTGTCAAATAATAGGAAACTTAGTTACAGAATAAATGTTTCAGGCACAACACTGTCAATAAACATTTGGAAGAAAATAACTGAAATACAAAACAAAAAGCAATTGTGTATGATCTCACATTCACATAATACTGCAATTTTGTTGAGCTTCCAGCATTTCTGGTGATCTGCACACAATGAAGTATAGTCAGTCTCCTTTTTATTTAGTCAAGGTCATATATGCTTTCTGAAATTTAGAGGTCTACATCTAATGCTAACTTTCAAGCCATAGGAATGACACTATCAACAATTTTGGAAGAAAGCCTCAGAAATGCAAACCAAGTATTCTGTGACAAAACTATCACGTAATTGTCATGCTTAAATGGGATGAAATAATGGATATAGGGATCAAAAGAAGCAAAAAAAAGTGTACTTACAGTTGGCCAAGAGTAGATAGATCAAAGTCGGGAGCAAGCTCATGCACAATATCATTTGGTGGGTGGCCACATTCTTGCATTTTCTGCATTAGCTCCACAATTTTGGTGAAGTTACCAGGTTCGCTGTCATACACTCCATTCAGCTCCTGTATAAGCTTGTACTGGTGAGAGTAACGATTATAATCTTCTTCACTCAAAGTAGATTTATGCTCCTCCAACCATGTTGGATATCTTTCTCCAATTTCCCTCATGGGCTCGTACAGGATATCCTTGGACAAGAGCTGCTGCATCATTGTCTCCACAATGGACTCCATATCCTAAGAAAAACCAAATCATCATAACAGGGAGTAAAAAAAAATTCCATATGAGTTAAAAGTAAAAAAACAATAATACTCCAGTAAATCAATCCTTTTCAAAATAGGTATGTTGAAGCTATATTTCTTTTCATGCTACGTAGTATAACATAAAGGAAAGTATAAGAATATATAACATGAGAAAAGGGTATCTTAATCCTAAAACACTAATATGGACAAGACAGTCCTTCAGAATACAGAAAAGAACACAGATGGAAACAGCCAAAGCCGAAATTCTGCCTTTTGCAATCTTTTTTGAAGTTAAATTTCCCAGTTTTGTTATACATTTATTAAGAATAAGAAAGCTAAAGATACTCTAAAAAAAAAGATCTCTAACCAATAATGAGATTAATATACTTAAGCATACATGAACTATGCCTAACAAGAGTGAACATAAGAATCTTCAGTTCACCTTCATAGCATAAACCCCTACTCGCTGTCAATAAATTATCTTGTGGTTCACAGTTATGAGGATATTTGACCACACGTACTTTCCTTTTAGGATGAAGAAAGTTGAGAGAAGAATAAATAGCTTCCCATTGGGCTGTTCCCATACAAAATCATGAAATTCACTTTAATAACATCATGTTTCATATATTGTATACAGATGAGAAAGGTGATTCTCACACTCTAAAGCCTCCCACCTTTCCTAGCAAACAGTGAGTCCAGCAAAGGTCAATGTCATGAAAGCAAAGATGATCTAGAGTAACCCTGCGAGGTTGTGAGAAGCAATGAGGAATTTTTTTTTACACACGCAGTCAAGGCATCTCAATACTTGAACTAAACTGAAACTTCAGAGGATCTTTGCTCAGTGCTCAAACTATGGAATATAGCACCATACATAGCGAAGAATTATTCTTATCTCGATGCATTAAAGATGTCTTAAAAATGCATCACCAGTACAACTTATACAAGTACTTCATATGTAATCTGGTGGAGTGGGAAAATAAATTTTACAGACAAGGTTCACCATATATTGCTAGTGATCTATTTCCATGGTTTCGATAAAACTTATACTCAAATTTCTCCTTAAAGGTTCCGACAAGGTTTTTCCTTTCCTCCCTGGGTTGGATCCAGTAGATATAATAATGTTTTTTTTTCATTGCTTTATTCTTCTATCTCTCTCCTTCCTTGAACCATTATAGTACCCACTATCTCTCACCCCATATGAACAACAATCAACAAAAGCTACCACTTTTAGATTCACTTATACTCCACAAAGCCCCACTCTCCGTCTGCCCAAGGGAGACGAATTTTCTTGTGGGATGGAGGAAAGAATATATAGATCTCTAAATTATCAGAAAGGTTTCCCAACATACATACAATACATCAACTTGGTTATGGTTTTTGAGTAGTCCAAGCTTTTTATACAACAACTAAAGTTGGATAAACAGGTAACCAAAGTATCTCCAAACTGTCAGAGATTCTTAGATATAAACTAGGGAAGAATTCAGCAATGATTGGCTCAAAGCTACAAAGTACAAACTATTATATGAACAACGAAGATTCAACTACATCGGATTAGTAACATCTAAAATTGTTACCAAACACTTAACAGCAACAAACATCAGTATCCTTCACTTCAACAACATTATGATAATGACACCCACTCTAACCCCCATAATCCTCACTCAACATACCAAATTACCTCAAACAAAAAGCACTTAATACAATATTAAACACAAACTAAATACAGAAATCTCATAATTATTTGTTCAAGCAAAAAACCCATAAAAACAAATTTAAAATATTATACCTGAGAACCAGCCATCTCCTCAAATTGCTTAACCCATTCCTCCATCATTGCATCCTTACCCAAATCATCACCCGCTTTCGGTGCCCCGGAAATTGATTCCATATTCTTAACTGCCTCCCTTGTCTGCTGTCTAAGCTTATCAAGAGTCTCATTAACATAAGATTCCTTAGGATTAGGATTATTAACCTTTTGTTTGCCCTTTTTTTTGGATTTCAAATCAGGCAACCCTAACCCTAACCCTTGTACATTTATTGGCAAAGACAATTTCTCTTCTTTTTCCTCTTTCTCCTCATTTCTGCCAAAAACCCACCCCAGAATTCAACTCAAATTATCAAAAATTGCCATCAATTTACGTAAAATTGAAAAGGGTAAAATTATGAGAATTACCTTTGAGATGAAGTAACATTAAGGCTCTGAAAATCATCCAAAGCACCTGAAAAACAAAAAAAAAAATCAGCAAAAATTCAGATTAATTGAAATTTGATAATCTGAAAATTGATTCAATTATTGAGGATTGAAAGAGTAAAAAAGAGATTACTGACTGTCTAAAAGCTCGTCCAAATCATCAGTGTTTGACGCCATTGAAAGAACAAAAGATTTCTCTTTAATGGCAGAAAATCACCCAAAATTTTCGACGGTGTTTTATTGCTTTGAAAGAGGAGGAGTCGTGAAGAGATGAAGACTATTGGGGTGACTGAACTACGATATGGTTGAACAGTGTGTAGTGGGTCAAGATCTACAATATTCAAAGACTTGGCCTCCCTCGGGTCTACATTTTTTGACAATGGCTGCAACCGCGGTCCGAGTTCACATTAATTTTGTTTAACCCGTATTTAATTTGGGTCTGTTTGGGAAAAAGTTGAAAGTTGAAGCTGATTGAGTTAGCTGATTTTGACTAGCTGATTTTATTAACTGATTTGACTAACTTATTGTATTAACTGATTGTATAAAAGTGTTTGGTAAATAGCTGATAGGTTAAAGGTGATTGAGTTTGTGAAATAACTAATAAGCTAATTGTGGGGTAGGTAGTTTAGATAGGATTTTAAATTAAATGAGGTTATAAGTGTCATTTCACAATAATTAATGAATAAGCTAATTGAAAAAGCTTCTGAAATGAGCTTTTTCAAAAAAAGCTTATTTAGTGGAATAAGCTCTTTCAATAAGCTTACTACCAAACACTTGTATTAGCTTGTTTGACTAGTCAATCAGCTAAAGTTAATCAAATAAGCTAATATACCCACAATAAGCTTACTACCAAACAAGGCCTTGATCTTTTTTTTTTTATAGTATTTTTTAATTTTCTAATTTCATTTAACCGTCTAATTTGACTAAATACTGACATTTTATACTACCTCCGTTACAGGTTATATGCAACGAGTAGACATTTTTTCTCTCTTCTCTATATGTACTACATAATGAATAGTTAAATTCCTAATAATCTCTTCTCTATATATATAATCTCTCTTAGCTTTTTAGTACGAAGTTAAAGACATTTATCAATTTTTTTTATAAAAAAAAAAAAAAAAAACCCATAAAGTATAATCAGAACTTTTTTTTTCTTTTACGATATGATTAGATCTAGTCACCATTTTATAATATTTTCATTTTTGGGTTTTTGAATGTACACCCGGGAAAACAAAAGGCTTTATAAAATTATAGCTAATACGTGTAGATTCAAGTTGTATCTTTAACGTAGGATTAGAATAATGTGACAATTAGTTTCAACTTGAGACAATAACCTTAATACTTTTACTCATTGATTTGAATTTTTTTTTTTCGGCATACCTACAACAAAAGCATTTTGGACAAATGACTATCAAATCGGATCTATTCTGGACTTATTTTTAGTAATTCAATTTGAGGTCAAGGTTAACTACACAAAAAGCCTTAGTGGTAGCAAAAACAGATTTTTGAGGGCTAGACTGCCGGACAAAATGAACAAAAGATCTCTTTTCAATGTAGTAATTGAATTTAATACTACACAAGTTATTAGCTACTCCGTAGTTAGTTTTGCTTCATGTCGCTTGAAGTAGTAATATGGTTTACATTATTTTCTCCAATTTGGAGGGTACAACTCAAGGATCTACCAAAAAAAAATGAACCGATTATGCTTAAACTTAAGTACTTAACTACTCGGTAATGAAAGCTAATTATCTAATATTTTTTCCCTTGCAAAAACACTACCTTCAACACTAGTCGAAAGGAAAATCTTGATGGCATTCCATGTCATCTCCGCATCTAGGGCCAATTCTTGTGATGCGGAAAGAATCCTCCATTCCATTGACAATTACAACACGGATAGGAGGTTGACCCATGAAGACATAAATGTGGGCTTCATATTATACAAACTAAAAAATTCTAGGCTGTTACGAGAGCTTGAGGAGGGAGGGAGGGTCTAAGGTACATTACACTGTTCACCAAATGCATGAGAGCATCGTTCTAGGGAAATTCATGATTTAGCTTGTCTCAACTGCAGAAGTATTTTCCATGGCTGAAGGCTGCGTTGAACTTCCTCCTACCACCTCAGCTGGGGCAGGCATGTTTGTAGTTGGAGGCGCTGACATCACAACAGGCCTTGACATGGGAGGCCTTTGAGCACCCAAGCCCATCGATGGCCTCAACATTGAATTTATAAAGCCTGGAGGCATCCGATTCATTGGGTATGATGATGGCAACATCCTAGATGAAGAAGATTGTATTCCAAGTCGACTTGCAATGATTTGAGCTCGTTCATTAAAAAGTTTCTGCCTTGATCGCTCTAGCTGCTCCCTAACTCTCATAATACCGTGCTCCATTTCAGTGAAGTAACTCAACTTAATCTCCAACTTCCGCAGCTGCATTTACAAGAAATTTGCATGATAAACTAAGCAGACGAAGTAACTTTGACTTCTTCATGATAAAAAAGATTAAAATTTTGGCTTTGCCTAGTATAGTTTCTTCACTTTCAATTCTTTTGTTTTGTGTGTGTGTGTGTGTGTGTGTGTGTGTGTGTGTGTGTTGCAAGGGTTGATTTACCTGCTTCTCAATCAGTATAGTTGATAGCTGCCTGATTTCATCTTCTTCTTGATTGACAAGAAGTTTAGCCTTCACAGCAGCAGCAGAGAGTGTAGCCAGGGCAGCACGCTTCAACTTAGCTACATTGTCATCTTCCTTTTTCCGTGTTGTTTTTATAAATATAGGATCCCTGCTTTTATCAACTTCCATTTTATCCTCTCCTACAGAGAAGAATTTGCCTTGTCAATTACAAAAGGTCAGGCAGACAATAATCATTAACACCAAAGAGTTTGGAAGATGAATAATGATGACTGGGAAATAAGCTCTCCATGCTATTCTCCATCCATCAAATGATGGTCAACAGACTCAACACACATTCACCAAATCCTCATGGAGTCAAGTATCATCAAGAGTACGCCATTTTAGTGACCCTTTTAAGATTCCGCAATACAAAATTATATGCAAGAATTACAAGCAAATATACCTGCCTCTGACGCAATTTCTATCAATGGAACTGCACCTGCTACCTCCTGTTGCTCTGCCTTGTCAGAAACAACAGAATTGGGCTCCATATCTGAATCCTTTGGGACATCCGTGCATCTAACATTTTCTTCTGTACTCTTCGAGATCTCTGATTCACATTTTGATCCAGGCGGAGGCATAACTTTAGATGCAGAAGTAGCTTGGTCCACTGGAGCCATGAGAGATTGCTCATTCTGCAGGCTGCGATTTTGTGGCTCGTTCAAAGACTTTGTTTCACCCTGCTCAACGTTAGTAACTTCATCATGCTTTTCTTCTACTATCCCCTTCTCTTCATCAGGCTTCTCAGTGATTTGGGACTTCTCTTCAACAGACTCGTTTACTTGGGGCTTCTCTTCATCAGGTTTTTCCGTGACTTCAGACTTCTCTTCATCGGACTTTTCCGTGACTTGGGACTTCTCTTCATCGGATTTTTCGGTGACTTGGGATTTCTCTTCAACAGGTTTTTCCATGTTTTGGGACTTCTTTTCATCAGATTTTTCCATGACTTGAGACTTCTCTTCATCAGGCTTTTCCATGACTTGGGGTTTTTCAGCAGACTTTTCATTGACTAGGGACTTCTCTTCATTAGGTTTTTCCACGAGTTGGGACTTTCCCTCAGGCTGGGACTTTTCATCAGGTTTTCCCACTGATTTGGACTTTTCATTGGACTTTTCAGCTACTTGGGGCATCTCTTCATCAGACTTTTCAGCGACTTGGGGCATCTCTTCGTCAGCCTTCTCAGCTGCTTGAGGCATCTCTTCATCAGGCTTTTCAGTGACTTGGGGCGTCCCTTCAGCAGGCTTCTCCGTGGATTGGGAGCTTCCTGAACATGTATCTTGCTCTCCAGGAGGCAATTGAGGGTCATCACTTGTATTAGCATCCTTCTTGTGATTTTGACCATCTGTAGAATGACTTTCATCCAATAATGGAGTGGACTTCTCCTTGGCATGGATAACTTTGTCATTTTTAGACTCCTCTTCAACCATATCTGAAGCATTCTGATCAACTTTATCAGTAGCTGTGCTGCAAAAGATAAAATCCAACTGACAAATGAACACAATAACAAAAGACTTGTACTATGGTTTTATATTCAAGCAACTTGCAGCAGAACATACCTCTCAGAAACAATATGTTCTTTTTTATCATCTGGTGGATCTTCCAGAATAAAGCAGTGCCTTGCAGCCAGTTGCGACCCAGGAGAACTTTGAGAGAGCGTCTTTAGTGAGATACAGGAGGATGCAGCAGCAAGATCAGGTTCCACTAATTGGGATAGGAATGCAGCCTGAGAAATGGATATATCAAGACCATGATAGAGTCAACATCATCAACAAATTGCAAAACAAACAAACAAAAAATCCAGGGACTTATGGGCTGCAGGCCAATTTCTCAAGATATGTTGTCAAAGCATAACATCAACCCTAGCTTGTATGCCCCAATTTTTCAACTATTTGACTTCTAAGTACCCTATACAGTATCTATTCCTATCATCCATCCCCTTTGTCCAGTTCCTGAAAAGGCAAGTCAAAGTTTCAAAAGACTGCACATGCCCATACAGATTTATGTTTGAAACCACGGATCAGATGTGAAATCCAAAGGTTAAATTGCTCTGCTAGCTTTTAAGAAACTTTCTGAAGAAAACTAATAATTGACACATTCACATAGTTCATCTTACCAATGCCATCACAGAATTACCCGCTTCAGCAAAAGAAAGTTCATCATCTGGAGTAAGTGGGCAACCAGCTACATGAAATGCCTCCTTTAATGCCTTGATTATTAAGTCGTCACCTTTACCCTGAACTATCTTTTCACTGAGACCATCCTCTAAATTTGAAATTTCTTTTTGGGTAGACACAGATTGAGCAGCAACACTATCAGTTTTATTATCTGATGGCTCTGCATTATCTTCAATAGGTTTGCTTGATGATGGTTCAGATTTATCTTTACCACTTTCACTCTCTGCCGGTCCACCTTTATCTTTACCAGCGTCACCTTCTAAGGGTTCTGGATTATTCTTTGGGACAGGTAGTTCATTACTGGTTGAGGCTGGTTCTCCATTCTCCAGAGCAAGAATTTTTGTATCATCACAATCAAGAAAAGTATCCTCTATAGGCATTTGAAGAAAATGCAATATGCACTGAGCTTTAGTTTTTGTGGCAACATGCTCAGCTATCTCATTCCAGTTTTCTTTGAAAAGTTCCAATGCTTCTAACAGGAGAAGTGTCTCC